GGACAATGTCGCAAAACGGTGAGCAGAGTCGCGCGATGACCCGATGTCGGCCAACCGATCCCCCCTTCCGTTATCTGTATCATGTGCACGTCGAACGATTCAGAACGAGACACCGGTGAACGTGAGCTCTCGAAGGATAAAAGAAGGGAATAAGCACGAGGAAGCTTATTACCTACGTTAAAACGGGGTTGGTCGTCCACGCAGGGGGGCTTAAGAACGGACACGACGGCGGCACGAGGATGTACATGGTGTATTCCGTTGGTGTAATCAAAAGCGCGACCAAGGCGGCGCAAATCTGCGAACGACAAGGCCTGATCGTCTTTAGGTAACGTTCTAGGTAACGAGATATGCGCGCGAGTAGAATTCTCGAACAGGTAACGAACGTCGATTCGCGTCGTGTCAACGTATATATGTCGGTATCCATCTCGCGGGTGTTTTCCGTTTATACGCGGGAGCGCAGAGCAACAAACACATATGAACGCTAGAATTATACATAAAATAAAATAAATAAATATAAATATAAAAAATATATATATATATATATATATACACAATTATATATATATACATACCTGATTTTTCGTAAGACTGCCATGTGTCACGTGTGTGCGCGCGTATCAGAAGAAGATCGATCGGATGCAATCTCCCGCCGATGCTCGATCGAACTCGTTTCTATCGCGTTTCGTATTATGAACCGCGTTTCAACACACCGCGAGACGATCGCGACACGTATTTCAGTGTGCACGTGCGTGAGTGTGTGTGTACGAAGATACGGTGAGCGGCCAAAAAAAAAAAAAAAAGTCTTGTTCCTATTCCTTCTAGTGTGTGTGTGTGTGGTCTAATAGCGATACGCCATTCCGGTCGGCCGTGTCGATACGTGAGAAACGATGATAGAAATGATACGTTAATTAAAAAAAAAGAAAGAAAAAAAAGAAAAGAAAATAAAGAAAGAAATTGAACGTAAAAAGGGAAGAATGAAAAAAGAAAAAAAAAGAAAAAGAAAAAGAAAAAAACTATGGTCCGTTGATTATCGCGTCATATTTAGATCGTGTAATAATTCCAGGTTCACGGCGGACGCTCCTTTTTTTTCCGTATTCACATGCAATCACTGTTATCCGGTATGTCGCACGAGGACCGGAACAGAGGATGAAAGAAAGATGTGAAATCTCATATTCCGTCACACGCGATTTGCACCCGCTCGAGTCACAGGGATATGTGGCCACTTCGTTTCGCGTCTTTAAAAAAGAAAAAAAAGAAAAAAACACTTATAGTACTTATAGTATTTTTCGCAATTAATTTATGGACCGTAACGACGTTAACGACGATTAATCAGGGCAAAGAGAATGAGAAGATGAGGGTATGGATCGATGATTGAGCGAAAG